CCACTGGAGAAGGGCAGTACAGACTCAGGAATGGGCTGATGTGGGAATATTGAGATAAATAAAATTCAGCCTGCACCTAGGATCTCACGCTCTAACACCACCAATCCTGAGGATTAGTGGTATTTTCTGAATAACAGTTATGTACCTGCTGGACGCATCGTGCTTTGTTTATTGTGTGCTTTGCATCTAGTCCTCAAAGCACCCCTAATTTTCATATGAACGAAACTAAAGCCACCTGCTGAGGCACCTGGTGCAAGGAGCAGAAGGGGAATGCTCACTGGCCAGCTGAGTGGGGATTTTGTATCATGTACCCTAAGTTAACACTTGAAACATCCCAGGTGGAAATGTTTCTCCAAAGTTCCCCACCACCTCCCACAGAGAACCTCCCCTTTTTTCGCTGCTCACACCCAGGCTGCACACCTCCCTCTTGGGCACAATAACTTCCCTCAAAGCTCTGATGCCAGACAGTTCCTAACCCAAGCACTCTCAACAGTCTTCCCAAAAAACGAGGGCCTAGAAATTCCTGTATCCGCTGCCAAGAGACTAAACAGTTATCCATCTCCTTGGTAATGTATGCCATGTGTGAGTAAAAAAGATCCTGAGTGCATAAGTAGAGAGTCCCCACCATTCTGCTGCTCACATGTCCTGAATGGGCCCCAGGTGTGCTGAGACGTTGAGTCTTCAGCTCTCAGGGGGCCCATGGTCCTGGGGCAGCTGGTGCTTTTCTCAGCAAGCTGTATATTTTCTGTATGTGCCATGACTTTAAAATGACTAGGAAGCTCTGCTCTAAGTCACCTCATGAAATGTCTGGGGCTTGTTGTTGATAAGTGAGAGAACCTACCTTGAGAGATAGAAGGCAAATAGGACAGTGAGAGGTAGGGGGTGGGCTGACAGGTCAGAATCGTAATTGGCGACCTTGGAAGAATAAACCTGCTGGTCCATCCAGCGACCCGACCCTTGAACTCATTAGCAAGGTCCTGTTGGCAGCCGTTCTCACAGCCACAGAAGTGAAAAACTTGTCAAGATCAAGACCGAGTCAACTCATTGGAGATGCAAGGCTGGCTTGCCCCTTGGAACTTTGTTCCTATCGCAGCCATTTAATTATTTTGTGAGTTCTTATAATTCCGAGGGAAAGCTGGCTTCAGAAGTACAATCTCTAACCCTTTTTAGGTTCCAGTATTTTTATGAACTGTGAGAAACTTTCAGCGCCTTAAAGAAACTGCATAAAGAAGGCGTCAGCATTTCCAATATGAGCTCCATTTCCAAAGGTTTATGTGCTCCGGAGAAATTCGCTTGAGGGTGGAACTTGGCATATAGCACACGCGTCCCTGACTGTCCACCCCTCATTTCATAGGTACTAACGAAGGAGTCCTTCAAATTCACTGCATTTGGCATCTGTAATTTTTAGAAATAAAAGTGGCTTTAATAGTAGGTGGTTTCTGAACGTAATGTTGGTGCACACAATTCTCAGCGAATCAGCAATGTCAGGAATACCAAAAGTCCTGTTTTATAGATGCTGGTGTAACAAGAGTATGAAGAGAAAGAAAAATAATTTAAAGGGACAGATGCCAGAAAATGTTGGTGCCCTCAGAAGGGCACCAGACTTAAACTGACGTCGTCATTTTTCCTACCCCAGGCCCCGTGTCCTATTTCCCACCTTGTGTGATTGGCCAGGCCATGGGCTTTGGTCAGAAATCACTGAAAAGCCCACCAAGAATCTCACTTTGTTTTTGAGCCTCCATTTGAGGAGACTGGATTAAGTGTTCTCTGAGCCATAAAATCCCTGGTGTGGAGAGAGTTCTCAGACAAAGTCAGGAAAGCGTTAGCCCTGCAGGGAAAATGATTCCAGGAAACCCCGGCGTGGAACTCTACAGATGCAGCCTGAGAGGGCCGGGGAAAGTTGTTAGGCAGCCGTGGTTCTCCGAAACCATGTAGGTCAGGATGTGTAGGCATCCTGCGTCCTGCAGCAGCTACCCAGAGGCCAGGACTGTCAACAGTGGATTCCAGCCTCGGGGTGGGGAGCGTGGGAACCAGCAAGAATCCAGAGACCTGCACCAGTTTCAGGGGAGAATCTAGGCACCTTGCCCAGGCCCACGGGGACCATTCTGTGAGCCCCTGCTCACGAGGCTGTCTCAGTGGCTAGTAACTTAGTGGACCCCACTTCAGGATTTGCTTGTGCTTTGGGGAGGAATCAGTATAGCTTCATGGTTAAGCATATGGCCAAATCCAAGAGCTTTATTTATAGCATATGGCCTTGGGCAAGTTACTTAGCCTCTCTGAGCAGTGATTCCTCCTGTGTGAATGGAGGTAAAAGCTCTTACATTTAGGGTTGTGAAGAAAAGGGGATGATACAAAGATGAGCTCCTGGCAGCTGTAACAAGCAGCCAGACATCATGATCTATCCTCACAAAAGGAAAAGAGTCTCCAGCATCCCTCCATGCTAAGCACTCTGTGGTTCAAGAGTAGGCAACCCCAAAGATGCTGGGAGTAAGTCGTTAGGCCGGCAGCCTGGGCAGGCAGGGACTAACACACCTCAGCTGTTACATCCCATGAATCTGATTCCCATGCTCGAACCCTGGGTCGGTCCTGATGAAGATCCATTTCTGTGTGAAATTAGAATAGTCCAGACGTTTAGAATTGCCCAAGTACAACTCATGGACGTGCTAACTCTGAGCATTGTATATCTAGGCTAACACAAGGAAAAAGGACACTGAATTCTGAATAGCAGGGTCTTTCATTTCAAACTCCCCTGGCAACACNAGGCTAACACAAGGAAAAAGGACACTGAATTCTGAATAGCAGGGTCTTTCGTTTCAAACTCCCCTGGCAACACTTCCCCATGCAAACAGCTGGTCGNCAACTCATGGACGTGCTAACTCTGAGCATTGTATATCTAGGCTAACACAAGGAAAAAGGACACTGAATTCTGAATAGCAGGGTCTTTCATTTCAAACTCCCCTGGCAACACTTTCTCCAAAAGGCCGTTTTGTGACAATGAAGTCTCCTTAACAGAGGAGAAAAAGATTGGAGAAGCTATTGAATCACCTCTAAAGCTGCTCTAGAGTAAAGCTAGCCAGGCGGAGGCCCTGAAATGAATGGGTCTAAAACTTAGCCCTTGTGACCCTGGGAAAGATCTCAGACCATGGCCATGTGATTCAGGGCTCCGCAGCCCATGACCAGCCTCAGGTGTGACAGAGACTGAGACAGCTAAGTGGCACCACACTGGAGAAAGGCTATCTGCCTCTTCCTGCTAATACCCCCGTGGAGGCTGAAAACTGTCTTCTGACATGGACCAAGCACCAAACCTACTGGAACCTATAAACGCCAGGCCTGTACCCACCCCGTCCACTTTGACCTTAGTATTAAGACATTCAGAGAATTCTACTACTCAGAGCAAAGAGGTTTTGGGGTCGGGGATGAGCAGATTCTGGAGTTCCCACACTGGTTGCTGAGCATCAAATGAGCTTGTACTGCCCGGCCGGGTGTCGCTCAGCAGTTGAGCGTCAACCTAGGATCCAGGTTATCAAGGTTCAATTCCCAGCCAGGGCACATGCCCGGGTTGCGGGCTTGATCCCCAGTCGGGGGCGTGCAGGAGGCAGCCGATCAATGACTCTCTCATCACTGATGTTTCTATCTCTCTCTTTCTCCCTCTCCTTTCCTCTCTGAAATCAATAAAGATATATTAAAAAAAAAAAAAAATGAACGGTACTGAAGGATAAACTATTTACCTATCAGCTATCTACTAACACCTAATAAATATACTAAGTATATATGACACCATTCATTATTTTATTCTTTTAGCTATGCTAGGATGATTCTAAATTCTAGTGATTCGATGGTGAACATATTTGCATCCTCACAGCAACCCTGTAAGGAACCTGAGACCTTGAGAGGTTACGGATCTTCTGCAGGAGGTCACACAATGAGTTATCGGCAGAGACCACACTCCAAGCCACTGTTCCCTAAATTGCCTCAGAGATGTTAGCTGTTCAGCCTCTTGACACAAAGATTACATTGTATTCTATTATATTCCCACCGTGCCTGGCACAGTGCTGAGTTATGCCTCTTACCCAGTCCTAACCTTAGGATGCTGCCATAAACTTTACTAAGGATATTTCATTCTAAGGCTATCATGTAAACAGACTTGTGGGGTGACAACCAGACCTTGGAAGCTCCCTCATTGTCTAGGATAAACCACACCACCATTTCAGAAATTAAATATGCAATAATTTTTTGGATAATGTATTTGCAAAGATGAGATGTAATTAGCAGAATAGGTCACACACCTGTGGTGAAACCAACTTAATTTGTTTTAGGGAATAGGGGGATCCCTGGGAATGACAAGAAATCCAGAAGGTACTGATGAGTTTTGTCAGTGCATAGAGTGTGAGTGAAAAACAAAAAGTCGCTCTCCGGTTTTCTCAAAAGGCAACTGCGTCGAATGAAGTCCGCACGATAAGTGATATTACCATGGGTAAAGTAACTTGAGGGATGACCTTACAGCATGGGAATTACTTGTCCTCACAGGCAGATTGAGAGGCCACAGACTTGGCCGGCAGAGGAATGGATGCCAGATCACGGGGGGTGCCCAGTTACCTTTGCTAGGACATCCCTTCAATTCATGATGTATGCTCATTACCCTTATTCAAGGTAACAAATTTCACTTCGTTGGTTGGTTGGATTTGTATGGTTCCCAATTGAAATAAGAGTGATCAAAAGCAGTTTTTGGTCTCTAATGACTGTTCTTTTCCTATTATAACTCTAGAGAACCATCAGGGTGTACGTACAATGACTCTTGCTGCCAGTAACAGCTGGACTTCTTATGTGAAGGGAATATTTTCATGTTCAATTAAAGGTCTGTTTCATGCCACTCACTGGGAACTTACACCATTAATAGTGCTTCTTCCTCCTAGGTGTCCCCTTTCCTCCCATTCAGGTCCAGATGCCCAAGATCCTTTCATGTGAGCCATCCCTAATCCTGACTGTGTTACTCTGTCCAGAGTCGAACTGCCAGATGAGGACCCTGGACAGTGGGATCGGAACCTTCCCACTCCCAGACTCGGGAACTCGCTCAGCCGGACGGTACCTATGCCAGTCAGACTCCCCAGAGGACACCGAGCCCATCCTGTGCCTCCAGCCAGCCCTTTGTGCGGCTCCTTCCACCCGAGCCCAGACCCTTGAACGAGAAGTGCCTTTCTCCACCGACAGCCAGGGCTCGGCAGACAGCACCCTTGCTCACTCCACGTCGGACCCCGTCATGACTGCCAGGGGCGCGCGGCCTCTGCAAAGCCACCTCCCCAAACCAGCCTCCTCAGGTAAAATGCCTCTTACCTTCCAAATTAGACTCTTTTCCCACCAAAGTAATGCACTTGCTGACAAAGTGGAAAACGGAACAGACCGAGAACAGGCCTCCACCAGGAAGTCAGTGAGTGGCCGCTGCCCAGTGGACATGTGGACACATGAAAATCCCTGCGTGTCCTCAACCAAGAAGGGAAAAGACAAGCAATAAACATTATCTGCTCTTCGCATTATGTTAAGGAGTGTACGTACAGATCAAGGAAACAAGCATGTAAGCACAGGTGTATGGATATGTAAGTTGATTGAGAGAAAAAACACACAACATACAACATAAAACTTAGCTTGGAATACAGACCAGTTTAGACCCAACGTAAGTTTAACTGAAATGTCGTTGGCCCTCTAACCAGAAACGTATGTCTTCTGACATAATCCTGTCCTGTTCGAATACGTTTATATGTTGAACTATAAAATCTTAGTTTGATGTATCAGCAGTAGATTGTGTGTTAACTGCAGCGGAAAGGAGTGAGCCTTCCCACCGAGAAGTACCATCTTGGGTTGCCGTCTGCTGAGACAAGCTCTCATGATTAAAGGCAGGACCAGGCTAAGGGTCAAAGTTTTTTATTGGCCCCTCAAGATTAAAAATATTTATTGAAGCTCAAGATGACACTACATAATTTTTAACTTGTAGGGCTTAGGCTGCATTTATGACACACATAAGCACATGGATAGAAGTCTAAAGACTTTCATTCATTATTTGATGAAGAGAAAGGAGCCACAAGTAGAGGTTATGTTATAGGCTCCTGAAAAATTAGAAAAGAAGACTTTTGATTAAACATCTTTGGGTAAATGTGGCTGGGCTATCTCCATGGCTGAGCCCTTCACACTGTACCACTAGCTGCCGTGAACATTTCATCGCAAACTTCTGCTCATTTCAAGCCGAGGCTGCGTTTTGAAAGAGCCGGAATGCATATTACTTTTGAAATACACGCATTGTTAATTAATGACACAGCCTCCAGAAATTCAGGGACGAAATCTTAGTTATAGATTGTGCCCCATGCCTGAACAGTCACATGTGTGACCTCAATTCAGCGGCGGGCTGCCGAGCAGACGCCGTGATTAAACACTGTCATTATAACAAATTGAATAGAAACCGCAAGCCTTGAATTGCTTCATAAGAAGGGGGATAGGAAGGAGATTGCTCTGATCTTGCTGCAAATATTCGCTGCACCAGCTTCCTAAGGTTTGTGTCTTAATTAAATTGTCATGAAGAGTTGTAAAAAAGTAGTATATGGCAAAGAGTGAGGTCAGCGTGCTGCGGGGTACTTTTGTGTAGCCCATCCTGAAGCTTCCTGTCCACCAAAGTGTCACCGTGGTTCAGAGGCAGGGCCAGCTTCCCAAGGCCTCTCTTTTTTCCGCTGCCACCGTTGACTCATTTTAAAAATTAAGGAATGGAGAACTAGCTGCAACAGAAGGAATGTGGTTTAGAGCAGTCACTTGCTACTTAATGTATGCATTTAAATTGGTTTTTCTCTTATCCCCATATCAAAAACGGAAGTAACCGTACAAGTCTCACAGTGTTGATGGAAATACAATTACTTGGCTTCTGCTCACAAGCAGAACGCTGTTGAGAGGCTCTCTCCGCCAGTCCTGTTGATAACCTCTGAGGCTGGAGCATACGGCATCCCCCTTCTGGCTTGAGAAGGGGCACGCTCTGCAGGTTAATCTGTTCTTATGCCTAATGGAGGAGCTTCCTTTAATTGTCCTCTGCTAATTATATCCTCGCTCTGCAAAATGTGGTCCATGAGCCAACATCAGCAGCAGCATCTGGGAACCTGTCAGAAATGCAGAATCTCAGACCCCACCCCAAACCTACTGAATCAGAATCCACAATTTAATTAACAAAAGCTCAGCCAATATACATGCAAATCAAAGCTTGAAAAATAGGGCCCTGCAGGATTTTTAAGGGCATCTGAGCAAGGTTTCCCAAACCACATCATTTAAAGTGACCTTCAGAGGTATTCTATGAAAATCAGGGCTCTCTGTTCAAATATGTTTGGGGAAGTCTGCGTATTTGAATCTCCCTTTGGAAACTAGGACTCCCTCCCCATTAGCACAATGAAGGCTCTGAAAAGTCTCCGGAAAGGAAACCTGTTAGTTATTGAATGAAAAACACTATTTGAGAAATAATCGGTGTTTCCCAGTTTGCCCATTGAGCCCTTTCTTAACATGAAAGGCTTATCAACATTTCATGGAAAAGTAGCCCAAGGGTAGTTTGCCTTTGGTCTCCTAGGTGGGCATCCTTTATATGTGCAGAATTACGGGGACCTGTCTGTTAGCACAGACTGCAGGGGGCAGAATGCTGGGCAATGCAGCTTTCACCACAATTGGCCCTTTCTTACTGTTTCCCAATCTCTCCCCCATTCCCTCCCTAAATTTATGTAGAAGCTGACTGTAGTCTCACCTATATTTCCTCCCTTAGGAAAAATCCCTTCCCCAAAGCAGAATGAAGGAGAGCCAAGGCCTCAGACTTGCGCGTCACTGTATGCTGAGAACGCAATGGCCAGGGAGCTGCTTCCAGACTGGAGGGGTGAAGAACCCCCTGCAGACACCCAGGTGAGGGGAGGCCAACAGGAGGACAGCTTCCACCTGCTGGCCCTGGTTGTGCAACATGAACTCCTTAAACACTTTTGTGATAGATTTCATGTGAAGTCACATTTGCTGTTGGTTCGGTAGCTAAGAACCTAGGCCCAAGGCTCACTTCTTTTCCTGAATTATTAAGCAACACCACAGGTTCCTGGGCAGAGTCCAAAAGTGCTTTCACACGCCTGCTTCCAGATTCTTGCGGTGTGGAGGCTCGGCCCTGAGTAGACGTTGCAGAGCCGGCACTTGCTCTCTCAAGTCATAAGAGCACCATTTAGAATGATTGGATGATATTTTTTTCATTACCTACTCAGTTCCTTTAACCTTTACCTTTCATTACCTCAGTTCCTTTCATTACCTCAGTTCCTTGTTCCTATGAGGCAGGTAAAGCAGGTATTATTAGACTCCTTTTAGGGATGAATAAACTGAGGCCTGGAGTGGTCAAACGGCTTGCAAGGGACAGCAAGGCCTGCATCTCTTTCACCTCTCCATTTGTACCGTGGGGCTCCTCAGCCACCTGAGATGGCACACACGGGCCTAGGGAGGAGCTCCCGGCTCAGGGACTCCTCCGTCATCCCTCTGGAGACTTGGCATTCCCATCGCTACCCCTCCCATTTACCGGTGTCAGCTAATTATTTGGCACACATCAACCTGTGCACTAGCTCTCAACTTGTCCTGGAGCTGGCCCACCTCAGGGTTTTTGGCGGTACCCAGCAGTGAGAGGGTGGGAGGAAGGACATAAGGAGCAACTACCAGAGCTCCCTGCCCTTTTGAGACCCTTCCTGCTCTGTCACCTTGGCTCTCCCGGTCCTGGCATTAGGGAAAAAGCCCTAAAAGAGACCCAGAGTTGAATGGGGAAGTAGTTTAGCAACAACGGGTGGAAACAGTGGCAAAGAGGTTCGGGCAGTTCCAAGAAAGAGAATTAGTACTGTTCCCTCTACATGTGCCGGCAGGCACTCCCCACCCAACATTTGTATCCCCCAAACCCACATCTCTCTGGGGTCCCCTGCCTCATCATTTCCCACCAGCTCTGCCGTTGGGAATCCTGCCCGTCCTGTAAGAGTCCCTACCGCAACTTGGAACTCAGAGCTCTGCTTCATTGACTGCCGGGGGCGGGGGAGTCTGAAGCAAGAGTTAGCTTCTTATTTCCAGCTCCCAGCACAGTACCTGTTTCCATTAGCTTCTGATGACTAGAGGGATGAAAAACTGCATCTCTTCATACGCAAAGAGTGTCTGGGGTCCTGCAGGAACAGTAGGCATGAGGCTGCCCTGGAACCGTAGCCCGTAGACTTGTCACCCTTAATGGACATCATCCTTGCTAGGCTACCAGTATCTCCTTGTAGAGCTCTGGACTCCCAGAGCCTACCATACAGCTTAGCACAGAGTGGACACTCAATAAGCATCTGTTAAAGGGGTGGATGAGTGAGTAGATGAAGAAAAATAAAGAAAATGAATTTATAACCACAGCTGAAAGAGCTCACATCCTCAAATGTATTTTTATCATTTCTAACCACACGATCCTCTCCCAAACAGATTTGTCCCATACATCTGTGCCGGAGCTGTCGGGGATGTACAGGAATATAGGCTCTGACAGGGAAGTCTACAAATATAAAAGAGGCCCAAACCCCCAGATTCCACCCACGATAGTTGTAGTCCCAGATCCATCCAGTTTTCTGCCTTGTGTTCACGGAGGGAAAACTCATACAGTATCAACCACCTCCACAGTCCCCGAGTGTGGCATGATCACAGCACCAGTCACACCTGGTGGGTCCGATGTGCATGCGCATGTGAGCAAAAGGGAAGACTGAGTCCTGGGCCTGACCTCTGTCGGTAGACTTGAGGATTGTATAGGGTCAGCAACTGTGTCCTTTCAGAGGCTGGAAGAAAAATTATAATTTGCGCAAACATTTATTCTTTTGTCCCCAAGGTTCATCTTCTCATGCCCTCTGATACTTGAAGGCCAGAGATGAGATCAGTTAAATAAGCCATTAAGCTTGGAACAGCAACTCTAATGAGCACTTGAGAAAAATAAGACTCTATAAAGTAGTATACAAAATGCAGCGCAAGTAACACGGGGACTTTCCTATGCCTGGGACAGCGGCCGGCTGTGTGGTCAGCAGCTTTAGCGCAGGCCTGTTCCTGCCGCTCTGGTGACTGAGGAGACCGCTAGCTCTGCAGACACAGAGGAGCAGGGCTGCTCCTGGGGTGGCGGGGGAGGGGCAGTGGGAGTGGCATTCTGTGCCCCTGCAACAGCCACCTGTGAACTGTTTCACCCCCTCACAGCATTCTGCCCCAGTCTGATTAGTGCGAATACTCTTAACAGTCTCATATTACTCGTTTAGGACAAGGGACCCAGAATGTGCTCGTACTCTGCCAGCGGTGGCAGTGATAGTGACAGTGACCCGGACTTTGGAGATAATGGTTTTGGAGCTGGAAGGGGCAAGTTAGTGAAAGCGGTGAAGAGCACCACCCCAGGTAACATGCGCCAGCACACGGGACATTGGCTCTGTCTGGGAGGCCGCCAAGCATGCCCTTCGCAGTGCTCGCCTCCACCCCTCCCCGATTTCACATCTTAGCTGCACGTCTCCCCTGAGATCTAATTTTCTGGCACGTACAGAAGATTGTCTGTGCACATCAATTTGTTTTCTGGTATAATCTTCATGACATTGCAGTACAGTCTGTAAGGATTTTATTTCCAAATCTGGCATCTCCCAAAAAGTCTCCAACTGAGTTATCTCGGTAATGAAGGAATGACTATAAAGCTGAGTCTGTTCTTGATTACATGCTTTGGCCAGTTAAATCATCCAGTGAGCCACGGATAGAATTCCCAGGCTCTGCCCTCACGTCATGCTGTGCAGCTCTGGACCTGTTTCCCGCGCCATTATGAAGAGGTCTGTTTATAAGCTTAAAACTCCCTCACACTACTTCTATTGGAATCCGAATTGGCAGCAGAAAACACATCATCCCAAGGCATTTAAAAATATGTATATTCAGATGGCATTTCCTTACACACACAAGAGCACAGATGTGCCCCTAACACAAAATGTGATCTGGGGTCTACCTTCCTTCTCATCTATTCTGGATTATCGAATATTCTAATGATGCAATGAAGAAGCATTCTTTTCATACTAATCAACTTTTTTCTCCAATACTAATTTAGCAATTATGTGATGAAACCATGACTTTTTTTAAAGTCATGGTTTCATCAGCCGTGATATGTTATTTTAGAGGAAAACGTAATCTAGCAGCCACGAGCTTTTCCAGTTTCCCAAGAGTCTTGGTGTTTGCGACCTGGGCGTAGGAGCAGCATGTGTGCATAGCTGTTAACCGGGGCCTCTGTTCTGCTCCTTGCTTCCCACCAGCCCTCAAGAGGCAGGACCAGTGGCCGAAGCCTGCCAGGCTCACCAAGAAGGAAGTGCAGACAGCTCTGGCATTTTAGTTAGGTTGTCCCCGTTAGCTCTCTGCGGTTTGTCGGTGTCCCTCTGGTTGTGACAGATAACGGGGAAGGGGAATTCATCATCATGAGGCCTGCCCTGGGAAGACGCCCGGGGCCAGGTCAGCTCCCGGCCCAGGCTCTACCCTCAAAGCCCACAGTCCACAGCAAGTAGCCCCACCTCACTGCTCCCTCCAAGAATGACATCCAGGGCCCCTCCAGCTCTGAAACTCCATTCATTTGTTGAACAATTATTCATTGAAAGCCTCCTCCAGGCCAGCTTTCCAGCAATGAGTAAATGGACAAAGGTCCCTCCCTGCCAGACAGTAAAAAATACATACACTCGACTAGAAAACGTACCTAGTTTGTTGAAAAGACATAAGTCCTATGGACAAGGAAAGGAAAGCAGGGTGGCGTGGGGGGGAGCGGGACTGCTGGGAGAGGAGCTGGGAGGGGCCACGTTAAAGCTCAGCAGCCCCACAAGCCTGGCTGGGAAGGTGACAGCCACGTGGACAGCTGAAGCAGCAGAGGGAGGAGGGCAGGAGGCTGCCTGGGGACGCGTTCTCTGCAGAGGGCAGAGCCAGGGCAAAGCCTTGGGGAGCGGCAGGAGCCAGCGCAGCCCTGGCAGAGGGCAGCTGGAAGCCTGGGACAGGAGCTCAGATGGGGAAGGGCCAGGGCGGGTGACTCGCTCTCATTCCGGGGACTCTGCTTCCTCTCTGAGAGACAAGTGGGAGCCTTTGGACAACCCAGGGAGCCATGTTTTAAAAGGATCACTCTGGCTGCCCTGTTTTAAGGCTTGAAGAAGCAGGGTCACCTAAGAGGCTATTATATCATCCAGGCCAGAGATGTCAGCGGCTGGACCAGACGGTCACAGAGAAAGGAGTGCGCAGCCCTGGCTAAGAGAGCCCTCCTCCTCCTCGGTGACAGCGATGTTCTGTATGTGCACTGTCCACTACCACGGCCACTAGCCACGTGGCCCATAAGCACCTGAAATGCGGTCAGTGCGAATAAGGCACTAAAATTTTCAATTTAACTTTTGCTGTAATTTTTCTAAGAGTTCTCACCTGAGCCATGTCTTGTTGCTCTATTTCACTTTTTTAAATATTTTATTAACTTGAATTTAAATATGAATAGCCACACCTGGCTTGTACCACACCAGGCGTGAGAATGGTCTGATTCCAGATCTAACTGAAAATACAACACAGCGCGCTGCTAGGTTGTAGGCGGGTGGAAGGAAGAGCAGAGTCAGCAGTGGCTCCAGGGTTTGGGTCCTTGGAGGGGTGGCGTTCTGCTGGCTGAAAGTGAGATGCTGAGCTGGGGCTGGGGAGCAGGTTGGTAGTTAACTTTGGACAGGCTAAGTCTGAGGTGCTCGTTAAGCAGGTGGAGGTGTGGAGGAGACGGTGGGCTGTGTGTCTGGAGTTGGGCAGATCAGGTCGGGTGTGGAAATGTAAGTCTGAGCGTCAGCCGCGTAGATGGCATTCAAGGTCCTGGATCCAGATGGGATCAGGAGGGGAGGGAGGGGAGATGAAGGTGACACAGCATCCTCCCGAAGTCAGAGGCCAGGGAGGAGGGGAAGAGACAGCAGGAGACTGAGTGGGAACAGCAGGGAGGGCCGGGAGCATGTATCTCAGAAGCCAAGGCGTCAGAGAGGAATTCAGGGCTCCAGAGGTGGCTGTTACTAGAAGAGTCACAACCCTCGTATCCGGAGGTCCTGTTTCTCCGTCGGGCAGCAGGCTCCAGTGGGAAGTGGGTAGAAGGAAGTGACAGGGGGAGGAGGGATGCTCTTAAGGCAGTTTGAAGACATCTTGTAAAAGGAAACAAGATTAAGACAAAGTGTCTAACTCTGAAGGAGGGAGGACTCCGGACATGAGAGCACCTACTTCAGGGTTCGTGGTTTACCGTTGCTTTGTTCAGAAGAGGTGTGCAGAGCACTAGGAGTGATTATTCGATGATGGCGACCGATCCCAGTGAACAGTGAACTCGCTCAACTTCTCCTTTACCTTTGTTCCCCCATCTTCTGAAAATGAAGTGAGCCTCGGCCTCAGTTGCTTCTCTCTCTCTCATCACTTCGCTCATCCTATGTGAGCAAATCCCTGTTTGAAAGGAACAGCCTCCTTTCATTCTGTTGCTTTCATGGGCAAATGGTGCTTCTTGGGATAAGATGTTGTGTAGACAGAGTAACCCTGGAAGCTGCACAGCCAGTAGGAAGGTCCCTCCTCTGCTTTTAAAAGTGGACTTGTTGCTGGAGCTCTGTCATCTGCGCACAGTGCACCCTAACCCAACCGGACACTGCTCAGCCCTGGTAGATGCCGCTGCCAGGAAGGAAAAGCCAGTGCAGACAGCTGGCATGGCTGTGGGTGCCTGCTGGCTTCTGAGAAATCCCAGGAAGAGGCATTTAAGGTGGGTGCAACACCTTTAACTTTTTAGATACTGGCAAAGTTGATCTGAAAAGAACACAGAAACAATTAGGAGAAAAGCACTGAAAGGAGTGCGTGCCTGGGTGTGCAGGGAGGTTTTCTTCCCTGCAGGCCGCAGCTTTGCCCTGCTTTGTCGTGTATGCCTGAGAATGTGATTGCCTATCTCCCCAACCCCTCTTTAAGTAACAAGGTTTTGTAATAGAGGTCCCAACATGCAGAATGGAATTTGCCAGTAGATCTTGAAGCCTTACTGGATGCTCTCCAAGATAGTTGCTCTTTCTCCAGCGTGTGCTCTCTCCCTGGTTCCCTGAAATGTCCCTCAGATAGAGGAGGGCATTTGACAGTCGCCATCTATCCTCCAGAGCTTCTAGGAAATGCACACTCAGGGCCCTGCTTCATCACCCTGCTCCTTCCCCGTCACCCTCTCCCCTTGGCAGCTCCTCATCAGCCACTCACCCTCCCTCACAGCCTGCCTGGGGGCCCTCCCTTTAAAACAGGGTGCCCTGTGACCCCTCATTCCCTGGTGTCGTGGCCCTCTTGCTTCCCTGAATCATACCAAATGTGGCAAAAGAAACCTGCTATCCAAAACCCTACCTCCGGGTTCGTAAAACACTAAAGTAAATATACATCTTTTATTTCAAGGTTGGGTTCCTTAGCTTGACTTTGAAATATGTCTTAAAAGTCCAGGTTGTTAGCTCAGAGTCAACAGGTGGGAGCAGGATTTAGGAGCTGGGTAGGTGGCCCAGCGGGCAAGGTTGCAGACAGGAGTAATTTTGTGGCTTTGTTTCCACAGACCTACCCACAATAACTTGCCAAGCTGACCATAACAAATATTCCTGCCCCTTCCCTGTGGACAGGGCCTCAGAGAAGGCATGAGCAAGGGACAGAGGTGGAGAGAGAGTGAGCCAGGGGCAGGAACCAGGATGAGGGCAGACTAGGGAATGGCAGAAGTGGGCCCTAAGGAGTCTCACCCCAGCTGACCCTGCTGGACCTGGTTGATAAAAAGTAACATAAACTTTAGCCCAGACGTCTCCCCAAGCTTCCAGTTCATCTGCCAGGCTGCCCATCACTGACCCGGCCAGGTACCTCTAGGCAAAAATCCAAACAGAAACCTCTCTCTATCTCTCTAGAAACCTCTGCCTCTGAGGTTCTCTGTCTTAACTGGTGGTCTCACCGCTCTCTCAGGAATACAGCCAGCCTTCCAGCCCTCTTTATCCATTGGTTTTGCACCTGCAGATTAAACCAGCTGCCCATCGAAAAAAGCCTTTTTTATTGGGAGTCCGTGGATGCGGAGGGCCAACTGCACGCATTGTACTCTGCCATTTTCCATGAGGGATTTGGAACCAATCCCCGCGGATACTGAGGGACAACTGTACAAAAGCTTCTCATGAAGCTGGAGTGTTCCTCGACTCTTCCTTCACATCTACGTGTCCCAAAGTCCTGCCAGCTTCCCTTCCAGATACTTCTCAAACCTGTCCCCTTTCTAGCTCTTCTACTGTGGTGCCCTCATCGGGCCTACACAGCCCCACGTCCTTTCCCCCTTGCTGCAGTCAACCGGCTGCTAGTCCCATCCATGCTGCCACCAGGTGCCGAATCCCATCAGTTCCTTTGCTTAAAAGTCTTTA